GACTGTCTCGTGCTAAATATGCACAGTGGGGCTGATTTAAAGTTGCCCAGGCAGCCTTAAATGTGGCATTTCCTACCTGCAAAGACTCGGCTTTGCAACCGTCGCAATGTTCTTTCGATGGAGCTTTTTTTCACGGCATTGGGATAATCCAAGGCCAGCTCTCAAGAATTAAAACAGATCAAAAACCTGTGAGAGCGTAAGAGGAACGGGAACCTGTCCAGCACGAGATGCTACATCCGAGAGGCAGAAGACACAGAGGAAGCCTTTTTAGGCTGGTTTGCTGGAAACCAAAGTTCTGATCAGCGGGTACCTATTGTTGGGGGGAAGTAACAACGGGCAGCTCGGGAGATATTGGGGTGACTCGTAATAGCTCCAGCAACAGTTTGGTGGCAAACAGGACACCGATGCAAGTTTCCTTTGAATGTGACAGCAGCACTCCAGCAGGATTGTTTTAGTCCATAATGTCTGTTCGTGTTGCTTGCCTTCATCCTGTTACAAGGGGGCGAACGGCGAGCTGCATGTCAGTAATAATGTCTTTTTAATCAAACGAATCGAGACATTTCCTAGGAGCCTTTTTGGTGTCCTTTAAAATCCTACACTGCTGTAGTGTGGGTCTTCCAAATCCCCCGCTGGCTTGGCGGATGTACAGCTTGAGAGAGCGTTGCGTTGAGGGCTCCAAGAACCAGCAGAGTGCACTGAACAGGTTTGTAAAGAACAGTTTCAAGCACAATCTTTCTTCTTGAACTTACCTGCCGAGCTCTGTCATTGGAGCAGGGTCTGTGTGTTGACGATCACGCCCCATAACATGCAGTGCTTTATTATCAGCAGGCTCAAAGCACTTCACAGTCTGTAGCCGTCCAACCCCCTGTAAGGTGCAGCAGTACTACCACTGGGGAAGTAAGAGGCTAAGTGACATGCCAAAGCCACACAGGAGTTCTGGGTCAGAGCAAGGAATTGAACGCTGCTCTCCCGTGTCCTAGAGAAATGCTCAAACAACAGGACTGTCCTTATTTCCAGCTCATAAATGGCAACTGAGGCACAGAGGGGGAGTAGGCCCTCCCCAGGTCATACAGTGAGTAGGTGTTAAAGATGGGAACAAAACACAGATCTCCTCACTCCCAGTCCAGTACCTCATCTTGGCACTCTCAGGGCACCCAGGGCTGTGTCACCTGGCTGCCACTTGCCTCCAGCGTGAGGGAGGCTTGCCTGTGCCATCTGGGTGTCAGCTCCCTGACCCCACCAGCCTGTTAGCCCCTCAATCGCTCGCCTCTGGGCTATACCAGCCCTGCCTTTGCTCTGCAGGTCGGCAGGAGATGCACCCTGGTTCCCAAGTCCCTCCAAAATGTCCCCGTGCAGTGTCCAGCCTCTAATCACTGGACACCCACAGAAATCCCAGCTCCTCTGTTCCCATAGGAACAGCGAACTCCCGCTTACCACTTTTACCTAAGCCCACCGCTCCCGGACCACACACAGCACGTGAGTTCAGGTACCACACAGCCAAAGGACATTCAAAACGGACTAGAGATCCCACTAGAAACATGTGTGAATGACGGAAACCAATGGTCACATAGCAAATAAAATCATGCAACATGCACTCATGAATAGTTCCTTTCCTATCTCCCAGAGCAGATGCTCACCCCCAGGTGCAGTCTTTTGCAGTGCTTACTAGCCCAAGGAGCTGGGACCCCCTTTTCCATGAAACACCCCATCTCATCAAGGTACCTTCTCAGTGCCTGGATGCAGTGTGTCTTTTTTTCCATCCTGTGCTCTACTGAATCAGTCCTTTGTCTTTATTCACAGATTGGGCCATCCCCTTTCTGCTGCAATGTTCCTTTTTACCTCCCAGGGGCTTCGATATTTATAGTTGATCTCTGATGACCTTTCTGGGTTGTTGCAATGGTGGACAGTTGAGCGTTACATGATGTGATCGGCTAGCCAGGGAGTGCTGGCAACGCTCTCCTGCTTGAAGGGCCAGCACCGAGACGTGTTTCCTTGGTGACTTGCTTTCACTCCAACACCATAAGAGCATATTACTGTGCCGGGGTGTCTGCAGGTAGAATGGGCCAATTACCCCCGTGACAGGCTGCACGTGGAGGAGAGTCAGGGCTGATGAGTTCTAATGGATGATGAAGCCCAGCTGGGCAGAGCAGGCTGGGCTGGCATATTGCTAGGAAGGGGCTGCAGGAAGGAACTGGATAGTCCCTCCCTTGAGAGAAGGGGAGTTGGCAAGAGACCAGGAACAGTCCTGTGATCCTGCCTGGGAAGGGAACACAGACTCTGGCATGAACTCGAGGGGAGTTGAAGTAGCGATAGGGAGCAGAGGACGCTCCAGTGGTACCCCAGGTATGGGCCACAAGAGAGCACAGAAAGGTAGGAGGGAGTCCAGGGAGATAGTGACAAGGTCTGGGAGCTGGAGTGGACCGTGGTGGCTGGGCATATGGTCCCCCGGGAGAAGAGGGCAGGCCCGGATTGCCCTGCCAGCCCCCGGGGAAGTGGCACAGTCTGGGCAGCGGAGTGGAAGACTTGCCTAGGACAGTCCAGTGGTACATTGACACAAGTGAGTCCAGAAAGAGACATGGAGCGAGCAACCCAAGGAGGAGGCGACAGACCGGTTGAGATAAATCCCATGAAGGCAGAGTGAGTTTGTCAGGTCTGAGACTGGAGTTGCTTGTAAAGAGCTATCCCCTGCCTTCCCAGTGCCAGTGGTACCGGGCTTGCTTCATCCCCAGTGTCACAGGGAGATGAAATCAAATCTCTCTACTATAGCCTGGCTCCTTTTAGTCCAGGGCTGATTCACCGAGAAGGTGGCAGTGTTTTCACCGGACTCCTTTAGGTGCTTTCTGATGTAATCAGTCTCTCTCCTTGTGCCCCAGGTCACAACCCTTCCCGGTCTGACACCGCCCACTTTTGGGGCTGCTCTTGCTGGCTGCATGTCCGATAAGGCTGGAAGAGAGCAGCTAGCATAACTTTCCAGCGGGTGGATTTTCTGGGGGTGGGTGACACAAGCAGAGCTGGGCATATGAGGGATTTTTTGGCTTGCTGGCAGTTTGGAAAAATAAAAAAACTAGTGCCGGTCAAATGGCATTTTTTGAACATTTTCTCTGAACTGATTTTCGCTGAAGTTGATTTCGTGTGGTGTGCACAGGTGCCAGTGTAGAAATGAATCAAAACGTTCCAGCGTTCCCAAAATGGAATGTTTCGAGTTGAGACGTTTCAGTAGTGTCGCAATGAACCATGTAGAGTTGACGTGAACAATTTTGTTTGAATGTCCAGGCGTTTTGACCAAAGCAAAGGATTCACTTTCCTTATAAGTTTTAGCCCATACTTAGGGCACTCGCCTACAATGTGGAGACCCAGGTTCAATTTCTTTCTCTGCCTGGGAAGCAGAAAAGATTGGACCTTGGCTTTTCTCTGCTGCAGGAGAGAGCCCAAACCACTGCGCTACGTGAGAGCTTAACATGTGGGGTCTCAGTCTCTCCTCTTGATGTTGCTCCACTTTTTAGAAATAATTAGATGGTCATTGGAGCAAGGACTTGAACCTGGGCTGCCTACATCCTACCTACCAGGCTGCAGCACTGTTCTCATGCTCTTGCCCTGGCCTGATGACTAGCCATTG